GATTGGAACAACTATTGTTGTAACGACACCGCTGGCTCTTATAACCGACGACGGTTACAGAACTGACCCAACAAGTAAGTAAACATCTAATTAAGTTGAGTACGTAAGTCTTCGACTATTTCTGTTACTGTTTTCAATGACTGATTGCAAAGTTTTCTCAAGATGACTTGGCCGGTATGGTTACTCTGAGAATAGTTATTTCATAGGATGTTGCATAGAATTCTGAAATTCTTATTCGACGTTTGCTAATGTTTATCAGAAGTTGAAATTGTTAAAGTTACTGTGCTATTGAATGATGTAGTAAAATAGAACTCCATCTGCAACAATATTTGTCTTTGAAATAGAACAAAACAATAATTTTCGTCTCAATAATGACGAATATATTTGATGAAGAGAAAAGTTCCCTTATTGATAAAGTCAATCTATAAATGCTGTTTCAATAAACCACGACGATCAGATTTCGGTGGAATTCTTTAATACAAAATCAATATAACGATGAAGTTCATATTCTTTCCATTGTGGCCGAGATAAATGTTTCTTCGATTCGATACAAAGGTGCAACAATTTTGATCTCGTTTAGTCGAGATGATTTTATTTAACGAAATGATGGCTATAAGAGTTCAAAACAATATAAACGCTAGGAATTATTCTATATTATGTATTGGCGGATTTTTTATCGGAGACGAGCATAAAAGAAACTGATAACAACCGTCGGATTAGGATGCGCACGCTTCTAATGAGGTACTTAGAGCTGAAAAAAGTTGTGTCATCATTAAATAAAAGTATAAAGATAAGAAGATATTTATATCACGATAGTTGCTATGGTTATTTATAGCAAGTTGAATCCTCTCTAATAATTTATTAACATTTTTTTAGCTCTTTTTCGAAAAAAACTTACATACCTTGGAAACTGCATGAGCACATGTTCATTTATTTAATCAGTTTAACTTCGGCCGATAGAATTATTTAACCAAAAATTATGTAGTACTAGGTCCGACGAATACGGCGGATGTGACATTCTATTGATGTCTTTTTCTCTCAAATAATTAATAGTATTGGATAAATATGGAATCAACGATGACCGTTTAGCAATTTTATACATTTTGAACCTGATATGTCTGTTTGCTTCCAGATTTCATTAACACAAGGCTTTAGATAATTTTCAATATAATACTTATGACCTACAGTCTCGCCATTATCTACATTATGTATAAAAACAGGACCATTTGATTTAAAGAATATACGAAACAAACTTTTGGTTCAAAGCTGTCTCTGAACAACAGTTTTTGCTGATTCATCTTCACTAATCCAGCTAGCATTACATGACTTACTACCAACCTGTCTAAAATAAATTCATATCTCATCACTCATAGTGCTAGACTTCAACTGACATGATCTTTGCTAAATTTTAAGACAAATTCTTGAAACTAACCAGGCAAATGAAATATGATGTGTTCTTGTGGTTTCCAAGGTAACTAGAACTTTTTTCGAACAAGAGTTCAAAAAAGCTTTTAATAAATTATTAGAAAGGAGTGAACTTCCGATACATAATCATAACAATTACCATGGACATTAGATGCAATAAAATCGAAAATATCTTCTTATCTTTATATTTTTATTCAACGATCCCAGAACTTTTGGTCAGCCCTCAGTAGTATATTTATGTATGGAGTACACTTTAGCTAGTAGCAGTTTTGCTTTTCCTTTGTGTGACTCGGTGAAGAAATTTTTGACACTGCATGGACCCAAAATTGTAGCTTTTTACTGACGTATGTAGAACACTGAGAAGTTAGAACATTTTTGTTTTATGAAATAGTCATAAAATATATAGTCACTACGACCGTTTCATCGGTATTGACTGTCAACAATCCAGTATATGACTGTCGAGATTATTCCAATTCAAGCCGCTTTTATGATGCATTCGATCTGAGAGTATACCCATGTAAAAAGAAACGCAACAAATCTGATTAAAATCTATTTTTCAAAAAAACTCATAAAAAAACGATTAAAAGTGCCAATTTTTGATTAAATTCTAAATAGTAACCGATTATAATCGATTTTTCTTTGACAAAATCAATTAGTATCGATTTTTTGACAGAAAATCCGAATACTCGATTATTTACGTTTCTAATCGGTTTTAACTGATCAGAAGATGTAATTCCGCAATCTCAATCAAAATAATTTAAATACCAGTTCCAAATTTACTTAGGTCAGTCCAAAAACAGTTGCGGAGGTATGATAATCCTTCAAAGGAGGGTTCGATAATTTTTTTTTCTATACAGTCTGATAGAGGAAAGAAAGCTCTATTTTTCTATGCTATTTGATCTTATTCAGACTAATCCTATGATAATAAAACTTCTATAAGACTTGTTTTGGCCGGACGTGTGCTTGTTGTACTATATCATATTCTGTGTTCCATACGCGTAATATTCTTGCCATTCTCTTTTTTTCTTTTTTTTTGTCTTCCTCAGTCCCGAACTGTGCGTACATGCATGCGAAAAGACACGTGTTTTGTTTGCTTTGCATATAAACATAGTATATAATTGTGTTCTAAGGAGGATAAAGCAATACACTTCGATTAAATCACAGTAGTATTCACTCTTATGAATATGAATAAGGAAAACTTTTGTTTCTACATCAAAGTACGCACTGCACTTAATATTCCAGCAAGAATTATTTACGATGAATTATGTTCTGTTTTTGGCGATCAAGCTCCTGCACTTAGGACGATGGAATGGTGGTCTAAATTATTTCGAGAAGGAAGAGAAGATGTTGAAGATGAAGAAAGACCTGGCAGACCTATAACCGAAACAACATCTGAAAATATCGAGCAAGTTCGTAGCCTTATCAATGATAATCCTCATATTACAATACAAGAAATGGAGGTTCAAACTGGTCTCAGCCATGGCACTATCCATCGAATAATATCCGATCATCTGAATTTGAAGAAACTCACTGCTCGTTACATACCTAAGCAGCTGACTGATTCACAAAAGGCTGAACGAGTTCGAATATGCAAAGAAAATTTAGAAAAATTCGAATCAGATGCATGGAGATTATGTGATGTTATAACAGGTGATGAATCATGGTTTTACCATAAACGCATTGGTCGAAAGTTGTCCAATTCTGCTTGGGTTTCAAGAAATGATCATTCACCTACAGTAGTACGACAAAGTCCTTATGCCCCAAAAAGCTTAATGAGCATCTTTTTCAAATCAACTGGTTCTGTTTTTATTCATCATGTAGAACGGAGGTTGACTTAGGGGTGAGAAAGTTATTGTTATTTTTTTTTGTTATTATAACAATAACATTCACTTTTTGATTCGAAAACATTAATGAAACAAGTGTAAGCATAGTTTGTGCGTACATCAAAAAATCACTTTATTCATACAGTATCTTTATTACCATTTGATATTAGAACCAGTCGTAAATATTCTGAGAAATCGTAAAATAACTTTTTTTGTTATTGTTATCCAATAATAACAATAACAATAACAATAACAATAACAATAACAAAAAAAGTTATTTTACGATTTCTCAAAATATTTACAGCTGGTTCTTATATCAAAAGGTAATAAAGATACTGTATGAATAAAGTAATTTTTTGATGTACGCACAAACTATGCTTACACTTGTTTCATTAATGTTTTTGAATCAAAAAGTGAATGTTATTGTTATAATAACAAAAAAAAATAACAATAACTTTCTCACCCCTAGGCAGACTATTGACCATCGGTACTATATCGATAATTGTTTAGAACCTCTAATTGATAACATCAAAAGACAACGTGCTACTTGTGGTGTCCAGGGTATCAAACTTCATTACGATAATGGGCGACCACATGTTCATAAGGAAGTATCAAATTATCTTGAATCGGAAGGTATTACAATAATCAAACATCCACCTTATTCTCCAGATTTGGCACCGTGTGATTTTTGGCTATTCGATTTTATCAAACAAAATATGCCCGATCAAAGTGATTCAGAATCGTTACATCAGGCTGTATCCGACTTCATGAACTCCTTAAGTAAGGAAGAATACAGAAAAACATTCGATCAAGGGATTCAACGTATGTGCTTATGCGTGGATAATCGCGGCGATTACTTCGAACATTTGATGAAATAAGAGCTTGGTGGACTCTCCATTTTTTCGTTCTGATGTCATTAGACATTGCATATCTTGATATGTATAAACAGCTCGGGACTGAAGAAGACGAAAAAAAAAAGAAAAAAAGAGAATGGTGTAACACTCTAACATAAACTCATTATACATCATACATTATGTCACCATCGTTTGTGATGATAGCTCGCATGGGCTGATCAAACTCATTATGCCATTAAGCTTCATCACATGATTTGTCTTAGCGCATAACTACGCTAATGACGATATCACCAACACGTAACTCAACGTGTTGAACGTTCTCTTACCCACATATATATACACATATCATATGCTCTCTCTTGTTTTTTGTTTGCTGTGTTCCGTTCTTATCCTATGCATTGATGTTTCTTTCTCTTTCTTTCTTGGACGATTCTCGGTATATAAGAAGCGGACAGAGAGAAGAAGCTCATTCTTTTGGATAATAAACTAAAGGAATCGTTACAATTGGCGACCCTGACACTCGAACCTATTCTGATTTTAACGAAGTCTACTTTCTACTTGTTTTTCTCTTCAACTGCTTTTTCATTTTCATGGCTGAATCAAAGGTACCACTTGATACTATTATTAAGCACCTCTCTGATACCCTTTCACAACATGATTCCACGATACGTACACTCGAAGAATCAATTGAATCTGTTCGTTCACAAATTGATACTCGTATCAACACTATTCGTGATGACACTAAACAAGAACTCCAATCTCTGGAAACAAACCTTACAAACCTGATTACCGCTAAAGATACCGTTTGGACACAGGTTTCCGACAGTATACATTCATTAAACACTGATCTTCAAGAATTGAAAACTCTTTTCACTAATCACATCATCGCTCAACCCCCACCGACCGAACATTCGACACCCACTAATGTGCAAACAACTGTTCACACTCCTGTTCATGCAGTTCCACCACCATTTGTTAACACTTCATTATCAACTTCTTATGTTTTACTACAAACCCATATGCAAGCCTCAACTACCATTGTTCTACCACCATCAACGACTCTACCGACGTTCAGTGGTAAACCAACCGAACGGCCACGACAATTTCTACTCCGCGTCGAAGAATATGCCCGAACAGTTAATAACTGGTCTCGCGCAACACTCCTTCGTGGCATCTCTCAGTTTCTTAAGGATGATGCATTCGACTGGTATTGCCAACTCCAACAAACACATAACGTACCCACGGACTAACACCAATTTGTCGCTCGTTTCTTAGTGCAATTCCACTCTCCTCTTCGAGTGGCTCAACAAGAACAAGCCTGTATTGATTGTAAACAACAAGATAATGAAACTATAAATCAATTTATCGACCGTCTCCGATCACTCTGGCTCGAACAAAAGCCAGATGAAAACGAATCTGATTTTATTAAACATCTTTTCTGCAAGATGAGACCTGATATGCTCAACTTAATGAACTTCTCATGCTCCTCATCATTTGAAGCGATCATATGTGAAGCTCAAAAATTTGAAGAAATTCTTTTTCTTCGTTCGAAAGAACAACGTCAACGTGATTTACTTAAAGGAAAACGCAACACTAGCACCAAATATTTCAATTCTCAAGCACCTACATCGATGTACACCCCCAATTACCCTCGTACCTCCACACGATCCGCACCAACCCAGCCAGCTGCATCACAATTCCATTTGCGACCGACAGTTACATGCTGGCGAAGTTACGAAACCGGACATTATTCAACGAAATGCCCTCTCAAGAATGCAAATTACACCTCAACAACACCACCTACATGAAACGCTGAACCCCATTCATTATTTCCCCTTCCACCTCGTCAAAAAAAACGTTTAAGGAGTTTTCGTGGGGCGGGACCACGAAACTCCTCTTTGCTGTACCCGCTCATGCAATGTTCGCAACTACACACTATTGATACTTTATTCTCTCAACCTCTTTCTGTAAACGGATATATCGGTTCTTGCCCTGTAACTTTCTTAATCGATACAGGCTCTTCACTTACGCTTGTCAACAACCAAATTTTTAATACACTTGATCGTCGTCTAACCAAACGTCGGCGGCAACCTCCACGTTCTCTTTTTCTTCGCCTCGCAAACCACTCACCATTGTCAGTCCGATGGGTCGTACGGCTACCAATCACTTTACATCGAAGAACTTATTGGCATACTGTCTACGTCTTACCTGACATATGGCGTCCATGTATACTCGGGAATAACTTTATTCGTTCTCATAATTTGCAAGTCGATGGTGGTCGACAAACTGTCTATTTTCGACACATGTCTAATCATGCGGTGTTTTCCAGACGACAATCAAAATACTTCCTTTACTCTTACAACTCTTCTCAACGAATCCACCAAGCCGATCAACCTCAAAAAAACTCTCAACTTTTTTCCAAAACTAGTTCTTATTCACGTTCACCCATTCTGAATGTTATTTCTAGTACCGACCACTCTCCTATATTGGAGCTCCCAAGTCTCTCCGACTCAATCTTATCTACTTCACAACAAAGCTCACTCTCGGATTTTATCAAATCTTGTCCACAACTATTCACGAATTCATCTGGACGAACTATCCAACTCAAACATCATATTGACCTCATTTCAAACACTAAGCCGCGCAACTCAGCTCCATACCGATACGCACCAGCGCGTCGCAAAATTATTGATGAACAGCTGGACGAAATACTTCAACAACAAGTGATTATTCCATCCAAAAGTCCATGGGCATCACCCGTTGTTCTTGCTCCAAAGAAAGATGGTTCATATCGTTTTTGTATAAATTATCGCAAACTAAACGAGGTAACGATTCGTGATGCTTATCCGATGCCTCGAATTGACGATACTTTAGATGCTCTTCAACACGCACAATTCTTCTCTACTTTGGACCTTCGCTCTGGATACTGGCAAGTCGAACTCGACGATGTAAGCAAACCGATTACTGCTTTTGTTACTCATCGAGGCCTCTTCGAATGTACCGTTATGCCTTTCGGTCTGACAAATGCACCGGCTACGTTCCAACGGTTGATGGATATTGTTTTAGCAGGACTTAAATGGAAATGTTGTCTCGTTTACCTGGACGATATAATTGTGTACTCGGCGACCTTCGAACAACATCTCGAGGATCTACGCAATGTTTTCACTGCACTTGGAGATGCGAATCTTACACTCACAGCATCAAAATGTAATTTTTGTCGACGGGAAATGAAATTTCTTGGACATTTAATAACTTCTCAAGGCATCAAACCAGATCCTGACTTAACGGCTACTATCACTGCATTTCAACAACCAACTAAACTCAAGGATGTGCAAGCTTTTCTCGGTCTGACAGGTTATTACCGTCGTTTCATTAAAAACTATGCCAAAATCGCCGAACCATTACTAAAATTATTACGCTCGTCACTGTCCACTGGTAAACAAAGTCATCTACTCTGGAATGATGAATGCACTGTCGCTTTCAATACTTTGAAACAGCAGCTGATCTCTTCTCCTATCATGCAGCCTCCAAATTTTTCATTTCCGTTCATTCTTGAATTAGACGCCTGCGAATATGAAATCGGCTGTGTCCTAACTCAAGAATACGACAATAGAAAATATGTTGTTGCATATGCCAGTCGCACACTGTCCACTGCTGAACGTAAATATAGTTCAGTAGAACGTGAAGCTCTCGCCATTGTGTGGGCTACAAAACACTTTCGACAATATTTGGAAGGCGGACCCGTAATTGTCCGCTCAGATTACAAAGCCCTTGAATGGCTCAAGACAGCACGTGATCCTACCGGTCGCCTTGCACGTTGGGCACTGAAAATATCCCCGTACAACATTATCATACAACATCGTCCCGGCACATCGAATCCGAATGGAGACTTTGTTTCGAGATATCCCGTTCCATCGATCTATACTTCAGCCCCGGATTTAAATTCTATCGATGTAGGACTTAACATTTTCGAAGGTACCAATATACTCAATGACGTTCAGGCACAACAACTACAAGATCCCCGCACTGCACGAATCATTCAGGATTTACAACACAACTCGTCTCAACACTATGGTAATAAACACGCACCATACGTACTCATTAATAATCTACTGTACAAAATACGTCACATCAACTCTTATAATGATCAACGGCCCCTAGGCAACAAACATTTACTTGTAAACCCGCAATCACTACAACAATCAATCCTTAGTTGGGCACACAATCATCCAACTGCCGGTCACGCTGGTCGCATTAAAACACTTTATCGATTAACTTCTGGAGTGTACTGGCCGTCAATGCGTCGAGACGTCTTTAAATAAGTTCCGATGTGCAAGGATTGTCAACAATTCAAATACAATAAACAATAACACCTCAACTTCATCACCTATGCAATTACATACAGTCACAGAGCCTTGGCATACAATCGGAGTTGACATTATGGGACCGTTTCCACCTACACAACGACAAAAGAAATACCTATTAGTCGTGGTAGATTACTCAACTCGATGGGTAGAGCTGTTCGCACTACGCCAAACCACGGCTACAGACATTGCAAACATCTTGATTAACGAAGTAGTTTGTCGTTACGGCGCACCGTCATATATACTGTCCGATAACGGACCACAATTTGTATCTCAATTGTTTAACGAAATATGTACTTTATTGGGGATAAAACGTAAATTCACAGCTAATTATTATCCACAAACCAACATGTCCGAACAAGTCAATCGTACTTTAAAAGCACAGATCGCAATCTATACACAACGTCGACCAAATTTATGGGATCAAGAAATTCAAAAACTTGCGTTCGCTATACGCATTTCTGTCAACGAAACCACCGGAAAAACACCTGCTTTTCTCAATTTAGGTCGAGATCTTCATCTACCATTGGATCTTATACTTACAAATCCACCACCAGGTCCAGTACCTACAACTCCAGAGCACAGATACATCCATCACTACCTCAAAAACTTACTTAACAATCTTCGTATTGCTCACAACCTCGTGCGGGAACATAACGAAGCCAAGAAACTTATTCAAAAATGCAACTATGACAAACATACATCTAAACCACAGTTCGCTGTTGGTGATCTTGTCTGGGTTCAAATACCGAAGCCACAAATTGGAAATACGGTCATCACATACAAACTACGTCCCAAATATCAAGGACCGTGTCGTCTAATTGAGCAATTGTCACCAACAACCTTCACCGTCACACGAATAACCGATAATGTCAATCTAGGTCCTGCCAACGTTGATCGGAAGAAATACTATTATGAATCTCACGTCAGCACAAACTCATCTTCTTCAGATACATCAACGCTTTCAAATACTACAACACGACTTATTTCTTTACGTTTACGACGACCACCTATTCGATATTAAAAAAATAAAATAAAAAAAAAGACAATTTTTTTTTCTCTCTCTCATCTCTTTCTGTTCTCTTTCTCCTCCCTCTTCTCTTCCATTTTGTTCTCTACTCGTCATGCTAATCACACACTGCCGTTCCTGTCTTCATCTATATCCTTCGACGGCGGATAAACACCTTGTCAACGCTTTTCTCTTTACATAACTGATGATATCAGACACTGTTAATTGTTTATGTTCACGATGCACGTCAGCACTACCCTCGCACGGTTATATTCTGCGATTTATCAATCTAAGCACTTCATTCATTTGTTTTCTCTCTTTTCATCACTGCCCAGACTATTCTTCTCGCTTTAGCACGTACTCACAGATATTTATACATAGCTGTCAGTCTGTTAGTGCGTGTCTATACATTTTTTTCCTACCTTCTCTTTCTTCTTCCCTGCTCCTCATATATAAACATTTCTCTATTCTCAATTTACTTACTATCGCCTTCATCATCATACACTGATTCGTATATTTGGTCGTAAATATGATCTATAATTTGCATAGCATCCTGTTTATACTTTTCTTCATCACTCCACTTGCCTACAACATAGCTGTCACCCAGCTCATCAAATTATCACAATCTGTTGTCATCGACGCTTCATCTGGTTTGATTTTTCACTACCTTACCGAATATTCTCCATCCGATTGTATTGTCTCATTCACGGCATCGTTCCCCATGACATGGGATAAGTGTTAATTATTACCGTTAAGCGCTATTCCAAAAATATCTGGTTGTAATAGTTCACTAACTAACTCATCTACTTACTCATCTATACGTTGCCGACGCTTTCTAGCTCAAGTTCTATCGCTTGGAATCGGATCTGCTGCACTAGCACTTTCCGCACATAATTCTATTCAAGTCTTACGACTTCAACACGCGATTCAAGCCATACAAAACTCCTTATCTCTGTTACACACAACTACGAATACATTAACAGCTCAACTTTTTCATTTACATCAAGGCCAGCTCAAACTAGCGCAATCGCTTAATCATACTCAAATTGCCCTAAACAAAACAATTCATCTTGTAAATGAACATTCATTGATTCTTGGACAACATGCGGCTGCTATTGATCAACTTGCTAGATTGGCACAGTTAATACACTATAGGCTGAACACATTCATGCATTCGATTGAAACACATTTTCTTCATACTTCATTATCTGATATACTTTCCAATCGACTTAGCCTACACTTTATACATCATAAGGATTTACCTGGCGTATTGGACACAATTGTTGCAGCTATGAATGTCACCTTTGATCTCGCTGCAACTCAACTTCCATTGGTCGACTTAGTCAATAAAAAAAACAGGCTGACCTATCTATGTTGAAAAAGAGATATAGTCAATCTGCTCTTCTCAACTCTTGCTTTTCAGCAATCGATTGTTGTGTCGAAGTTAAATGAATTTGTTAAAATAATAAGTTAATGTGCTTTGTATAAAAAAGTCATTAAATAAATGCAGAGTTTAATTTGCCGACGCGTTTCGTGTTATTTATTGATATAATGAAAACACTCATCAGGGCTCTGCACTGTATTACAATTTTGAAGCACAAGGAAAAAAGAGAAATTGCAAAAATGGAAATTAAAGCAGATTAATAAAAAAGATTTTTACGAACATTAAAAAGATTTTCTTGATACAAAAAAGGAAGAAAAAGAAAAACAAAATCATACTAGCACAGTGGAATAAAAAACTTCCTGTTTACATTTCAAAGAAGAAATGAGAAAAACAAAAATCACACTAGTAAAGTGGAATAAGAAGTACAACCATAAAAATTTCTTTTCTTAAATAGTTGAAGGATGATTTCAGAGTGTCCAATTTTATCAGAAGCTTGTGTATCAATTGGAATCTTAAAAATAAAATGACCACATTCATTAAGATTCTTTCACCTTGTAAAATTCATTAGCATATGGATCAGGTAATTTAATTTATTTATTGTGTACTAGCTGTCGTTGTAAGTTTTGAACATTACGTGTACCAAGAATTGGTCTAATTTCGTTAATAGGAGATTCGATAAAATATTTATTTTAAAGGATATGAAATTTTGTTTGGAATGTTTTCATATTTAAACAGTATGTAAAATGAACAAACATTGACTTCCCATAATCNGTTTGGTTGGATCATAAAAATAGGAATTCATTGCAGTTAACCTTGATGCATTCCATTGTAGTCGACTATCCCTTTCCATGCTATTAGCGTGCCCTTCACTTTTCAGGAACAATAATCGCTCGTGAGCTACTGGTAGTGGAAAAATATTGCATGCCACCCATTGATCACTCCCAATTACATAGATTCTAACTGTTGTTCAGTCTGGTCGTCGACTATCTTTTAAACACCATTCAAAGAATCATGTGTCATATTCAAACTTGATAGCAATGGATTTTCGGCAACACGAAAATCTTCAACTGTTGTCATCGGCTTTCCCGTTCGATAATCGTAGCCACCATCAGATACACTTTCATGCGTGTAAACAACAATGATAAGAAATCAATACTGCACCTGAAACTGTCATATGTTCGATGATCAAGAAATGCACAGTAAAATAATAAATTCTTTCCTGTTACATACAGTTCCAATGTTCGAAGCGGCTGATGAGTTTGGTCACATCATAGGATCAGGGGTGCGACTGGTTTATCTGAGATACGCTAATATTCAAATCATTATTAATCCAGTTGATTACCCAACCGACTCCAAATGCACCGTCAAGATTTGGAATGTCCTGAATCGGATGGCCAAGCATAGCACTCGGCATTATACATAAGAGATGCAGCGATTGCTCTCGTGCAATAAACCACTGATTAGTTCTTGTATAGAATGAACCTCGCAATCCATTCGATCAGATCATAGCTGTCTTGATCTTCACTACTGACAAATGCCATTTCACCAGTCGAGTCATCTGTATCTCGACAATCAGCTATAAGAAATGTATAACCATGCTCACGTTAATATGGCGCTTTATACCGATAATTCACCTGATCAGGTCCTCGTCCAGAAGGTGCTAATTCGAGGATCACTGGAAAACGTTCGGTATTTGATACAACGAGATAATCAACTGCTAGCTCGACTCCATTGCGCAATCGAACACGTGTTGTTTTGAAGATCAAAGGATCGTTTTCGTCACTTGTCAGAAGTGAGTCTGAAGTGCCTGTAAATTTCAATCTAAACAATGTTATGTTCCACCTGAATGTATTGAGTCGAAACAATAGTTAGTTAGCACATTATCAGCTTCATGATTAGACACCGGCAAATGTTTTGTTGAATTAAACGTTACAGACAACCCGACAAAAAAAACTAAGAAAAAACAATGTCATTCAGCCTTGATCAAAGCAACCGACAAATAGTAGTTGACACAGACATATATATATTGTCATCTTGGCTGTCATTATTTTACTGTTCTCAAAAGATACTAAGCTATTTTCTATTCAAATTCTTGTAACAGAATAAGTATAACTGGTTCATAAGTATTTTTTTGTGTTTCTTTATATTTCTTTCTCATTTTCTATATCTGGTTGACAGAAGAATTACGCAAATAATCAATAAGCTTTAATTCGACGTATTGTATTTTCTTCCTTTGAGTATATTAGATATTGGTTAACGAAAGAATTAATCCCATATGATCATATCTAGTAAATACACTCAAATATTGATAATGTTTTTTGGTTTATCTCATAAAGAGACTTATTGGTTTTTTTTTTGTCATACTTATGTTGAGAACAGACACACCATCAAGTGTACTCAAATGAATGTTTCTATTGTCTTGTTCAATATAAGTGTTTCTATCGAAAATTCAACTCAACTAAATACAATATCATGCGTCAGACTTTCTCGTCTATGTTAGTCTGTCGACGCTAGCTTAATGTTTTTTCAAATGTAATTGTATATACTCTTATCAGCTTTTAATTTTTTTGTCGTATCATAATTAAGTTCTAATCATCTTTCTAAAAAAAATTTTTTTTGCTTTCGCTACTTGATGGCGTTTGGGAGGAAGTTAGTATTGCTTGCTGTTATATTAACATTATAATTAGATATTTATTGGAACCATTAACAAACAAAAAAATATAGAACGCTTCATTTTTTTGCGTGTCATCCTTGCGCAGGGGCCATGCTAATCTTCTCTGTATCGTTCCAATTTTATTATATGTACCACCGAAGTGGGACAACGATCATTCTATCTCATCGTTATATATATTGAGGCAAGATGAATAGAAACAAAACGATGAATGAGTGGGATCAGCAATCTCGAGCAATAGGAGTGATTGACATCTATCAAAAAGAGTCTTACTCAACTACGTAATTCTGTTTTGTGTGAGGGTTGTGACTTATGTGATATATATATATTAATTTATATTGTTCTTCTATTTGTATCCATAATCGAAAAATTTAAGTGGATCTCAAAAATATAAGCCTCGGTAGTCTAATGGTGAAGACACACGACTGAAGATCGTGTCATCCAAGTTCGATTCACACTGTTCAATTATTATACCAATCTGTTCAATGAACCATTCATATGATAAGTCGTAGAATGATCGCAATATATATAAACTAACACTTTCTTGGCTGAGGCATATAAACATTTTTGTCATAGTACAAAATTTTTTACGCAATAATTTTGCATTAGGGTATTCTTTTGATTGTAATTACGCAATACAGTAAGTTGGTATATGAGTGTAATTCAGAGAGTAGAACAGAGCAAAAATGAATGCCAGTGTCCGAGAAAATATAAGAACTACATAAATAAATGCTTCAAAATAACGTTTTTGTCGAATTGATTTGAATTCAGCCAATTGTCGACTCATCAAACTTTGTTTTAACTAAAATAAATGAATAGAAAAAACCATCTATTAGCACAACTAATGCGGGATTAAAATGTAAAACATCATGAAGCACTTCATATGTTCTCATGGAATGTTAATGTCACGAGGTCTTTGATTGTAATTTTATAGTCTTTCACAGTTTGTAGAGTAGAAGGGTGAGTTTCTCCAAATGAAACTTCTACCCTATATACTTCAACACTTCTATAGATCGAATTTCACAAAAGCGACCTTCAAAATAGTCATTAATAATATTAAAAAGAGAAACTAAATTGTTCTCTTACATTGATAGAAAGACAGCAATCAAGGCTTGACCATCTATATGGAATAATTAACAAACTATATCGAAACAAATCCACTAATAAAATGGGACTTTCTCTTGATCGAATTCAAATTGAGGATTTCTTATAGGATTTTCATCGAACATAGTTCATGTATGACTATCCACTTGTCAGATTCTCGACCTGTGAAATGAATGTTGTTTCCTACATTGTTTTCTTTAGCAAAGTTTTACCAATTTTGATTTATTAGGACAATGATTTGTAAGAAATTCTTTGTTATGTTAGTCTTTCTTCTTGGTTGCGATGAACTTAATTATTTTACCTTTAATTCTATTTAGGACAAATTGATGACAATTTTTCGATGTGACACGAAACTTGTTCCTATAGAAATATCGTTTGATTAAATAGTTACTCAAAAAGTGACAATCGAAAGAATATCATGAAGGAATCAACAGCAAAAGTTTGATTCCTATCATCCTAAAGAACAAACCGTTAAAAATGAAGTCAAAATCACGATGAATCTTTGACTGGAGATTTTCAATCGAAGAGTGTGAGTCTATGGGAGTCATAAACAGTTCTATTCTTTAACAATATGCACTCTCACACTCACATTCATCCTCTTAAGAATTATTTCAAATTGAAGCGACTCAAAAGAAACACAAGTCAATCGCTCTTACAACTGGTGTCCCCACATACAAACTATGTAAAGAATCAACCAAAAATGACTGAATCATGTCAAAGTGACGTAATCTTCTCAAAGCACATAGTCTAAAATGCCCTCTGACATTATTATTTTCAACACCCATGAATAGGATACAATGTCGCTTTTGTTAATCACGCTAAAAGAATGTAAAAATTGATAGAAAAAATCTAGGTCATTATTGGTATACTGTATTTAAGATTTTTATAGCTGCATCATATGTTGTATTTGAACGAAGATCGGGTTTATTTCAAAATCAAATGGAAAAAAACGAATATGACCTTTACCGGCAGCAATTGTTTTTCTGAAACACGCACACAGTACGAAAGATTGACATATAGTTCCTTAGAAAAAATTGCTACCTGTAATCTGACAGCAGCTACATACATATAATCCACCAATGTCTGTCATGTTCTGGGTGATAGCTTGGGTAGACTTATCACAAACAATACCTGTCAAATATACAGAAAAATGAATAACAAAATAAGAGCATGAAGGACGAATATTATATTCCTGTCGTAAAGATATATCAATTCCATTTTCCAGTGCAGTCAACTAATCAACTAGTTTATCGAGTAATGGAGTAAATTCTGAACGTTTCGGTTTCTGAGACTCATAAGATATCATTGCTACAATCATATTAGGTACCAGGAACCGTATCTTTCGAGAGATTTCATTAATGGTAATAATTATTTTTCAAAAAGAACGTGATATATTTTGAATTGATACGCCATTGACAGTTCAGTAGCAATGTTATAAAATGGATCCTTTTTGGAATTAAAGAATACACTGATCAACAAGTCCATCAGTTATATCGTTCATTTTTTCTTTGCTTATTCAAAGGGATGTTAGTGGAGTGCGTTCCAAGATAGCTTCCATCTGATGTTTCAAATTGAATATGTAGTTTACAGTTGGTATCCTTGTGTATGCATTGTGACCTGCACAACCTTTAACTGAGCATCGATTCATTTGTACGCTTAGGCCATAGCAAATTGAGCAGACAACAGCAAGGCTAGGATGAAAAATCCTTGTTTTTTCTGGAGTAACTAGTTTATTAATTGAGCAATAATCATTTGGAATATTTGGCACTTCAAGCAGACACAACAGATGACAAAAAGCAGTTAATCAAGATTTTGAAATTGAATGATGGAGTCGAAGACAATTTAGAAGCACGGATAACTCTAAAGTTGTGTGTGAACGACGAGACAATTACTCAGTTTTTGGAACATTGTCCGAACGCGAACTAGAATTATTGTATGGTGATGATGAGTAATAATCAAAATGGTCCCGATTCTCATCGGATTGAATCTGATTGCTTCTATTGGTATGAGCCGAAATGCCATCATTTTCATTATCATCAGATGGCATAGATTCCCAATCAACATCATTAATGTTTATTCCTTCTTGTTCAAGTGTAAACATATGTTGATTTGAAATTATATCCGAATGTTCATTGAGTAAGTTTGGGCTTTTTAAGGTTGTCATGGTATTTAGCACCGAGGAGGACGATGCATATTGCTCAGTACAAATATTGAGACGAGAAGATAGACCTTGTAAACTACGATGATAAGCAAGAATATTTTGTAAACGATAGATTCGAACAAATGGTGGCTGAAAAGATTCTTGAATAGATTGTGTTAATATTGGATGAACTGTTGGACTAATTAAATACGAATTGAAAACTGAATCTCAGATTAACAAAATAAAGTTTATCTAACTGTTTTAGTATCTGTATGAATTTTTATTCACTTTTCAACGAAGTTACTCGTTGAAAGCGACAGTTGATAGTTCTTAGAGTGGTGTACTTTCCTTAACCTTCATATTTCAGCTTTAATATATGTCGCTCAATTAACAATGAATTGTTTTAAAGCTGAAAAAAATCTGTATTAAAAATGAGTTATTGATTGATATATAAATTTATTTATAAATTTACGAATACAAATAGATTTATTTTTCAAACAATAATAATCCCTGAATAAGAAACAAAGAAAAAAAATAAGACAGACAATACTTATTAATATAAAAAATTACGTAAGACGCCTATTATTTCATGCAAACAAGAAAAGGATGCAAATCATAGTTATACAAAAGTATATCTATAGAATAAAATAACAATAGAATAGATATATAAAAAAGACTATTTCGTAGCAAGAGATAGTAGAAATACAAAAAAGAAAGCAGCTGTTAATAAAAAAAAACAAGATTATTTCATCATAAACTACTGATCATGTGATCTACGAAATGTAATTATTGATTGAAATGGTTTTTAATTTTACTACATTGAATCTTTTTATTTCAGATCTAAGTGAGTTAGCAAAAGTAAAGCAAGAGTAAATAGAAGATTCATTTGAAAAAAATCTTACTAATCATTCATTTCAACATCTGATTCATTGTTGCAATAATACATCAATTGCTGTTGTGCCATTTATTATCCTTATGTTGTAACTTATTGTAGCGTTCCATTGAATCAACTCCATATTCCTTGAGTTCATGTACAGCCGTTGGTGACAATTGGCGTTCAATAGCAGTGGATTTAGCTATTTTATGTTTCGCTTAGCATATACATGAACCGATTGCTCCACGTAGTTCATTCACAGAGTAGAGAGCTGATGGATTACATTCGTAAGCAAACACTAAAATAGTAAAAATAAAACATTTTCTTTATTTCATTTTTATCGTTTTCTCTCTTCTAGCTTATCGCATATCTAGGGTACTTTTCTTTTCTTATAATCAATCATATCTCATTGAAATAATAAATTATTGACAAAGACAGTGAATCCATTTTTAAATTATTATGACTTTAAACAAAACGAAACGGAAATTTTTCTATCTTACTTATGTCGCACAAGATAACTTTCTATTTTCTTCTTCGTCCGAGAGTAGCAAAATACAGAACATAACATTAGTATTCTTTATCGTTCTTTCTCTTCTTTTCAGAATAAAACAATACAGAACGCAAGAGAAATTTTCTTTTCTTTTCATGTATATATATATATATTCTTCTCCCTCTCTCCCATCTTCATTTGTATCTGGTGTTATTCGCTGAGCAGTTGAAAAAATTTAATGCTCGAAATAAATATAAAGGGTGCTTTATAAGTTTCGGTCCCATTTTTATTTTTACTTTATCTTTGTTCTTTTTAAAGATAAACAGGCATTGACCATATATTTTTGAAGAGCAACATATAGGCTATCATTCAAGAGCAATTGCAATCAATTTGCACTAACCCTAAGAAAGCGCTGCATCGGTGAAAATATTGAAAAAAACTTACCAAGTTTTTTTAATATTCTGTATTACAACGGGTGGGGAAGAATGAATGACCGCGTTTCGCATTTCAATTTTTAATCACTTAATACGTTATATAAAAAAATCAAAATGTACCACAAGTTTCAGCGTGAAAAGCTCTACTAATTAACAAGGATAGCTTACTTTATATATGCACCTTTTGTTTTCAAAATGGAGAAGCTCTGTATGACTAAGTTTCCACGCTCCAAACCAGATCATTTTTTGGTACTCTATGAATTCCTTTTCTTATCTCCTTAATCAATGAATCATTGCTTTTAACTTTATTTCATTGCATATTGTTGTAATGGGAACATATATCGATTAGTCCAAATTCAGCCATCGGCTATAGTCTTCATTATGACTCATTAACCAAAGCAATAAGACAAGAAATTCGTTGGATACCAAAAAATGATCCAGTTCGCAGCCTGAAATATTGATCACACAGAATTTTCTCCATTTTGAAAACATAAGGTGTATTTATAAAGTAAGCTGACATTTATAATTAGTAGAGCCTTTTTCGCTGCATCTTGTGGTACACTTTGTTTTTTTAATACAAAGTATTCAGTGATTAAAAATTGAAATGCAAAATGCGGTCTTTCATCCTTCCCCACCCGTTATAATACAGAATATTAAAAAAAATTGATAAATTTGTTTCAATATTTTCACCAATGCAGCGCTTTCTTAGGGTTATTACAAATTGATTGCAATTGCTCTTGAATGATAGCCTTGATGCTGCTCTTCAAAAATATATGGTCAATGCCTGTTTACCTTTAAAAAGAGCAAAGATAAAATTAAAATAAAAATGAGGCCGAAACTTATAAAAGAACCCTTTATTATTCTCATACTACGGTGTAATATTAGTTCACCTATATTCTCTATGCAAATGTAATTAAGTACATAGGCGTAGGAACAAATATACATGTTAGACTATTGTCATCAATATATATAAAAATAGGGATGTCGTATTAGCATTAGTATTGAAATAATGCTAATGCACAAGCATTGGTATTACTTAGTCAGCCTAATGCTTAAGAGCAAGTTTCTGACAAAATCACTCACTATTGTGCATCGATGATGGAGTGAGATTTCAGAATTGGCTGATTTTTTTTGACATGTTATAGAGCGCAGTGAGTTTGGTATTTCCTGAAATTTTTAGGTCGATCTGATTACTTTTTCCTATACAAACAATCAAAATACTATTAGAATTTTCCATATGATATTTTTATTATTTTTTTCACGATTTTCAGCTGATTCTCTTCAGTAACACAGACTTTCTCCTTTCAATTTGTGAGACTTTCGACTTCTCATTTTTTCAGTCATAACTATTGAGTTATTGTGCTTCTACGATGGGTGTGGGTGTCATTCTAGAGAGGATTCACATCCAGACCCCACCCACTCCCTCATCATCCCATTCTCATGCTTATATTTTTATTATTATAAGGGAAAATGTTATTCAATAATATGGATGAATCCATGGAGTTTCTACCACTTTTCTGGAATTTTTTTTTCGATTTCTATAGTCTAGTTAGATGGGTCATAGTCGAAAAAGGTCTGAGATAACAATTATAACCGTTTTGGACATGTAAAGTATGGTGAATCACATCATTTTTTAGAAACACTCCATAGATATAAAGAGAATCCCATAATAACTGATGATAAATTATTAATCATATTTTTCATACTTTTTCTTGATCTAGAGAACTAAAATTTTTATCACATATATATCTAATCAAGAACTTTTATTTCTGAAAATTTGCAACTTGCTAGCTAAAGCTAATGGTGAAATACATAAATATTAGTACTCGATTTTTGCATATTTTTACTGTGAAACTATTACAAAAATCGACTACGAAAATTGATGTATTATAGCACTAACTTTAGCAAGAGATTTGAAACTTTCAGAAATAAAAGATCTTGATTAGATATATGCAATAAAAATTTCAGCTCTCTAGGTCAATAAAAAGTATGAAAAATATGATTAACAATTTATCATTAGTCATTATGGGATTCCTTTATATCTATGGAGTGTTTCTAAAAAATGATGTGATTCACCATACTTTACATGTCCAAAACGGTTGTAATTGTTATCTCAGACCTTTTTCGACTATGATCCATCTAACTAGACTATTAAAATCGGAAAAAAACTTTCTTTCAGAACGTTGGCATAAAATAATCTTCTTCCACAAAGTGGTAGAAGTCTCATGGATTTCCCCATATATCATTTGAAAGGCCGTCATGAGTACTCGATGCTGATATAGAAACATAATGGTTAGATATTGTTCTGTGTGTCCATATATACAATTTTTGTCGCGTTCCAAGACTTATCAAAATTCTGTAGATATCTTGCGTGTGTAATGTTATTATGCACTTCAAAAGTGTTTTAATATATTTTTCTTTGCCCTTTATAAAGTGAAAGAGAAGATATTTATCTGAGTCCTACGAAGAAACATATCCAACTCTGAATCATCGATCGAAGTGATACTTTGCTCATAAGTAGAACTCAGTGAGACTAGAAAAAGTCTGAAAGGATATCTCCCTAGAGACCATTTTTATTAAGTTATGATTATTGTATCCGCTTTTCTGCTGATTGCAATATATTCATAGAAAAGTCATAAAAAAGCTTGTTAGCACAGCCTCTTTGGAGCTGAAATGTGGAACTCACATAAACTCTCTAGCCTCATTCAACTTATACAAAATACGAAAACTGAAAAATCTCTCTTAGACCATAGTTGTTGTGCAGGATAATCAATCGTAAGAGTATGAACCTCTCTAATTTTTGCATTTGGAACAGAGTTTTTTTAAAACTTTTTTCTAAAGGCGCCCTATTTTTTGTTTGCATTGTTGCTATTCGCTCATTATTTTTTTTTAATTCATTTTTCTTAATTTATCATTCTTATTACTATAATCATTGAATTGATTGACAAATAAGTGTTTTACATATCTATCATATCTCCCATGTCGCGAAAATCGCCGCGCTTTTTTCGCTTGTTACTATAGAAATACAGCAGAAAAATCGCGATTTATTCATCAATTTCATAAAAATCGGCAAAATCGCGACGATTTTCAAGACATGGGCTACAGCAGATCTTTCACACTACCATATATATTACTCAAGTCACAAATAATGATATTCATTACTTTTCAAAATCATAACTTGATCAATTTTCCAAAAAAAAACTAGAAAATCTAACATCTTTTATTATTGATTGCTAAGGTTTGTAATGAGGAGGGTGTCTATAATGGGGGCCTGCGTTGCTAGGTGTCTGTAATGAGGTAGGGGGGGGGGGGAGGGGAGAGAGGGAGCCGCAAAAACTCGAACTTAAAACTTACACTCACTATTTTCTTCGAAAATATATGTGAGTTCAACAAAATGGAATTTTCATCTGCATATTTACCTATAAACAGGCCTCTTGATGTTGAGAACATCCTGAAAGTTTCAACTAAAAGAGATGATTTCATTTCGACGTACTGAATACTGAAGAAAACTTTGCTTTAGAACTTTTTTCGTGGTAGATGATTATTTTATTCTTTTTTTGATATTCAACATTCTAAGAAGGAAACATCTCTTTTGACTGAAACTTCCAGGATATTCTAAGAATTAAGAGACCTATGCATAGAGACAAATCCAGGTAAAAATTCCTTTTTTTAAAGTTTTCTATGAATACCTTGACATCAACCGAAAACCCAATAACAAGTCATAACTTCATAAGGAGGATTATGGGAAGATATCCTTTCAGGCTCTTTCTAATTTAACTGAGTTCTACTTGTGAGATAAATATCACCCGGATCGGCGATTCACAGTTGAATATGTATTCTCGTTAGCCAGTGTTACTGGTAGATTCGTCTAAGGCATCATTGTTGGATGTACCAAGGATGTGAATGTGGGTATCCAATTCAACTACATCCAAACATCTACATCGACACCCCGACATGGTAAGGTTCAAAATATCAATCTGCTGCTTCAAGACAGATATGATTTCCTGTGTTGGATTGACGTCTGTTTCCCATAAAGATGTTCCTATTTACCTACCCGAATGTTCCCCACTCGGTCGATAAAGAAATTCGAAAGATTTCGCTTGATTAACATAGCACATAAGTTCTTTTTCTGGGTTTTTATCTTTATAACTTTTTCTTTTTTTGCTCTCTCTCTCTTATTAATATTTTCCGCAAAGATTTAAAATATTGTTGAAATTAAAAATTATCAAAAATCAGTTTATTGTCACTAACTTTACATCTTTATCTATGTCTCGCTTTTTTATCTAGATTTCAGTCTTTCATCACACTGGTCACCAAACAATATTATACATATTAACCAATTTCACATCTGCCACCAATAGCTCTTTGACAATTAAATAATGATGAATAGCAAAGGTAATTATTTATAATGAAATTAGTGAGCATCTTCTGTATCATTCGACCTTATATTTTAGTATGCACCAGAGCTCGATTAATCCTTATGACAATGCTAGTTGCCTGCATGCTCATCCTACTGTTATTTTCACACAGACATCGTATACGAGACTTGAACCAGTCAGAATCTTGTAGAGTCGTTTCCGACCTAGTGAGTTCCAATTGGGTTACACAATTTCAACAACATGAGTACCGGATCTTTTCTCAAAATGGTGAAGATGGGATACTCCTCTGGATCTTCGCCAATATTGGTACAATTCATCAGCCACCCCGTTTTGTTGAGTTCGGTGTTCAAAATGGCAAACAATGCAACACACGTTTTCTTCGTGAACATCTTGGATGGCAAGGTCTAATGATGGATGTTAATAATGCAAATCTCTCTATTAACCTTCGCCGTGAGATGATCTCTCCAGAAAATATCAACGATTTACTTGCAAAGTACGAGACTCCAGCTACCATAGATCTCCTTTCAATCGATATCGAGTAAGAAGTCCGCCTAGTACAATAGTATGATTATTTGTGTAGCATAGTTTCGACGATTATTTCGTTTGGAAGTCAATCCTGCAAGCAAATCGATTTCATGCTCGTGTTGTAGTTATTGAATTCAACTATGAAATTCCACCCAACGAAAATCGAGTCGTCGACCCTAATCAAGATTCACGTCGATGGACGCGTACCAATTTTTACGGAGCTGGAATTCTAGCCTTGGCAGCACTCGGACGTGCGCATGGTTATACACTCGTGTACGTAGAACAAAATGCCGTGAACTTATTTTTCGTTCGAGCATGTGTGCTGCTGCAGCAAGGCGTCTTTGATGATGTTCCATCTGTAGAGCAACTACATGTATCGGAACCTGCTCGTCCGTGGAAACATGCCCCAGAAATGGACAAATCACGAACTTGGATATGGAATGATACTGCTTGGATACCATAGTTCAGTCAACATTTTTGAATAAACTGTTCGATATTAAATATAGAGACTATTCTTACTTTGACATGACAATGCTTGAGAAGGCGTTCGCCAAGCGTAGCTTCTCAAAAGAGGTACTTTTTCAATAGACATTCAGCTATTTAAATATTCCATAGCAATTTATAGCGGACACAACAAGACTCATTTGACCGATCATTAATGATGCCAAATTTAAAGTTTTAGAGGTTTCTGAAACATAATTAGTCATTGAAGTTCATGTAACATTAGTTGACGTTTGATGAACATAGCTCTATTTATACAAGAAAAATACTTTTTCTATCCAAAAGAAAATATTTTGTTTAATCACATATAAAACAAACGATAATACAAATGAAAATAAAATAAATAAATCTACAAATGTTAATGATTATTCATTATGAGTTGGTCGAGTGAATATTATAGTAAATTATTATTTATTATAACTTAATTGTGTTATTAATGGTAAACGATTATCAATTGAGGTAAATATTGGATTATTTGTTGTATATGTTAATGTTTGATTACAATCATCATTAATTGTATTTAGAATACCAGCTATTGAAATACTCATTGTATTGTCTGGAACAGACCAATCTATAAAGAAAAAAACGGAATATTTTGTTAAATACATTTTGATAAAATTTATACTACACAAAGATAACTTATAAGATAGTATATTTCAATCTTCAATTTCAATTGAAAAACAAATAATGCGAAAAGCTTCATGAGTTAATGGATCATTAATTGCGATTATTATATTAATAATATGATAAGTTTTATGATTTACTGGTCATGTATAATTTAAATGATAATGTTCAACATATTTTCTAGCTATCTAACAAGAAAGAGTAACTTAAAAAAACAACACGAAAAATTTCAATTAATGGGTTGTACTGATACTTTTATTCCGTTTAAATTTAAGTACTTTGTTGGCATATTCAATAAGATTCATTCTATGACTCCCTATACCATTTTCGAGCATTGAGTTTCCAACTAATATATTTTGACGATAGTTTTCGACAATTTAAATAACAAAAAAAACTTGGATTTTGTGACACACGACCCAAAGGGAATGTTCCATTATATGGAATAGAAATTTGGACCGCCCTCCTCGTCCAACACTCCATCACAGACGGCCTCTAGAGATCATCACAAATCATGACGTGCCTTGTTGATATTCGATCAAAGACCGTATATCGCTAATATCTCATTGGAATATGTGAACTACTTCCTTATTGCAGTTCTAGAGGATTAGGTAAACGATAATCAAGAATTCTTCCTAAAAGAGATCGAATTAAACAATTTTTGATGTGATCAGCAATACTAGCAATACTGTGTATCAAATTTTTATCCCACAGGGATTACGTTAACAACTTATTTTTGATTACTAACGTTATTATTACACAATGTTACATACAGTCAGTTTTACGCTTAACATAATCAAAATTGTTTGTATAATGCAAATATCTGCATAAATTGTTGTTATTAATACCCTAACATTAAATACTAATAATAAATTAGATAAAGATAAGTCAACATCAAAACAATTCAATATTTCAATGATTCTTATTTGACCATAACAATAAAACTTTGAGAATAGTTGAATCAACAACTTTCAGTGGATATTATGAAAATTTATTTGAGCTAAGTTTACTATTTGTCACATGTTGTCTGCTAGCTGCCGAATCAAGAACAGGAATTAGGCTATTTTGAAAAGCCATTGAATTAAGTTTTAGAGTGTCAATAGATTGTGTGGAATCATCATTAGTTATTAAAGTGTAAAAGCAAGTAATGAATACCAAGTTTTGATTGTATTGAATATTTATTTACTGTATTCTCAAATTTAACTCTTAATAATCTTGAAAATGTGGTTGCTTTATTACTACTTGTTAATATGAATAGAGTAACATTTAAATATCTATCAACATCATTTCCACATTTTCGGGCATTCCTAACAGACATGCTATTCTTTATAACTCGATGACAAGTAACAGAAATATTCGATCATAAATAATTAGAAAGCGCTTCTAAAAGTTTATATGAAGGGTTGTTAAAGATTGCTACGCTCTCATGTTAAGAAGACAAGAAAAGACATATCGAATTTGTTCATTTAGAAGGGTGTGGGTGGGTGAGGGTGTAAAAGCGTGGCTGTGGCTCTTCTGTAATCCTCCCCACACCCACACTCACTCCCACACCCAGCCTTTCACAGCCACAGCCACACCTACCCCGGCGCATTCACATCCACACCCTCTCTAGTGTGGTCTCGCTACGGGCATCGTCTGCGATGAGGGTATTGGTGTATTTATTGACCTTGAAAATCTCATAAATGTTATACTTGAATGTTAAACTTGAAAATGGATAGAAGCCGAGATAATTCGGATCTTTACCACAGCTGGTTAAGCGTTGAACATGTTTAACGCCGCGGACAAGCTGTCCACGGGCTCACGAGTTGGAATGAATTCGTGGCCAATGTAGCCAGTGTAGCCGATTTCTCGAATAGCGGCCACAATGTCGGGATAGTGAATCTCCTGTTTGTCGTCTAATTCATTTCGACCCGGGTAGCCTGCGGTGTGAATGTGGCCGATGACGTCACGATGAGCTCGCAAGTATTTAATGACGTCGCCATGCATGACGTGCACATGATAGACGTCGAACAGAAGACGAACACTCGGTGAATTTACTTTGCGAACAATGTCGGCGCAGAAATCGATGCTGTCACCCTGGTAACCGGGGTGACCTTTCATCGGATGTGACCCATCGCGTGTATTGAGATGTTCCAGACAAACGGTGACACCTTTCTTGGCGGCATACGTAGACAGGTCGAGAAGACCTTTCACGCAATTCTCAAAGCATTCGTCAATCGACACTTCACCGCTTGAAGGATCTTCAGGATTGAGCCATTTGTATCCGGTGAAGGCAATCACGTTCGGAAAACCGTACTCGGCGGCAAGGTCGATGGATTTTTTGGTGCGGGCAATGACTTCTTCGTGATTCTTCAGATTGTTAAGGCCTTTCATAAAAGGCGCTCCAGGCATTCCATTCCAGCAAAGCGCACATTTCAGATTGTGTTTTTTTAGAGTGGGATAAGTGTCTGGCGGTGCAAGTTCGACGCTTTCAATACCGAGATTAAGGGCGAGTTGACAGACTTGTTCTATACTCCATTCCCACTCGGTGTTGGCGAGGCACCAGTAAGCGATGGACTGTTTGAATTTGTGCGAATTCGACATTTATAATAGCAGTGTATAATAGGGATCGGCAAGCAGTGTGTGCAGCACGTCACGGATAGCTAGTGCGCGCTGATGAATGGCAGATCGTTGAACGGCGAGACGTAGAAGTGTGTGGGTGTGTGAAGCCGAAAAGTGCCAGCTGCGGTGAGTTGGAGAAGGAGCTTTTGTTCGCCGAAGGTATTTTCCACCTGCGCACAACAACCAAACAACTTCTATGACTGTCACCCTACAATGCTTTCTTCCGTGTGATATACTTTATTTTTTATGAAAGGTAGTACTAGAAAGCAACGCGATAAGGCGAGCAGGACATTTGATCTTCATCTAACTCATACTGAAAAGTTCATAATTTAAGTTTTTTCAACTAAGGAATACGGTATAGCTTCATTCTGCTGCTACGCAGCTAACCACAGGAGTGTTGATTGAACGTTGATGATCGAGCATGCTCATCACAATGTCTGGTAGAAACTCAGTAGTTAAGAGTTCTGACTGCCCTGCATGACTTGAATCAAACATATGGCGAGTGTAACTCTTGTGGGGGCCACCGGTTAGTAGTGCTCGAGAAATCCTTGCATGTCTTCGTTTTTCTTATGAAGGAATCTCAAATAAATTCAGAGAACCACTATCTAACATTTCCTAGAAGAACTCGAGAAGCGAATATGTTACAAGTTCTTTGTAGCCCAGGACGACAGAAAAATAAAATGTGGTTTTTCCGACGCAATCCAATCGTGAACGAACGTGACCGACTGGATTCCGTCGAAAAAATCGTATTTCATATTTTCGTCATCCTGGAAATACTCAAGGAAACCATACGAAAATATAGGACATTCTGTAGGATCGTTGAAGTCTTGACGTTGAACATAGCCTGCCCTCTCCGTGGTCAAGACCGGGAATTACATGATCTACCTGAGCTCTTTTGTACAAAAGTAAGAACTGCTAATCTTTCTCATAGAGTTAGTCCTGTTTTCTAGCATTCATTAAAATATTGATAATGTGTTAACGGTAAGAAACCACACGAGCGACACCAACTTTTCAACGCCTTTTGGTAAATAAATAGACAAAATAATCTATGCTCTAAGACTGCTGCAGCAACTACTAACGCGAGAACATTCACAGGTGTTATGACGCTTTTCCGTTGAATGCAACTTTGTTTGCGGCATAGCCCTGTCTCACTGTTCATTTCCTAGAACGGTTTGGCTTCCTAATGCTATGGAAAGGAGATACGGTCGTTTCACATATTCCCTGATTTCCAGAAAATGCAAACGTAACGATGAAGGTTAGGCTTGTCTACTATTTTGTCTTCATCATGTGTTTTGTTCTTACCATGCACTTTTCTCTTACTATAAGTTTTGTCCTTATCTTGTAGTATTATATTTCACACTGTTATATTGTTATAATTCCTTAGTTTTGATGCTTGAGTATATAAGAGTATGCTTTGTATCAAAATGTGATGATTTCTGATAGAAGAAACCTTAGTGCAGATGGAATTACACTTTATTCTAATCCTTCATACCATACAATCGCTTCGTTTTCATACAAAGCATACGCTTATATACTCTAGCATCAAAACTAAGCAATTATAACAATATAACAGTGTGAAATACAAGACTACAAGATAAGGACAAAACACACGATAAAAACAAAATAGTAGGCAAGCCTAACCTTCATTGTTACATTCGCATTCAAACTTCGACTTGAATCTACCACACGAATAAAAACGGTACCCTCTGCCTCTTTTTGACTGCTTTTCAAACTCAGTGATGGCGCTATCGATCGAGCTGAAATTTTCTTGGAGGATGCCAAGATACTTCTATCCATACGCTTTTGGCCAAAAACTTCCCTATCTTAATAGAGAATTTCAATACAAAGTGCTACAGTTGAAAAATCCAGTTTATCCTGTAGCGCGTAGGATTTTAATTTTTTTATTAAGAAAGAGAAGTTTTTGGACAAAAGGGTATGGATAGCAGTATCTTGGATACATCTAGAAAAATTTCAGAAAAAGCAAAAGTTTCTTTAGAGGGGTTGATACAGTCGCGACATAGGAATTTCGAAAAGTTCACGTTAACGTGAAAAATCAATCCTTTTTGTAGCAATACTTTTTCGATTACAATCCAGCTTTCAGTGTCGTATTCGGCAAGATCGGGACTACAGCAACGTCCATATTTTACTAGCTAGTCGGACGTACATCGTCTTCCTGGTTGGGACTTGCCTGTATTTTATTCTTTTATCCGTCCTCACGATTAGCCTTGAGCCTTGTGGGTATATTTGCATCACAAACAGAGTTTTAGAAGATGTAGTTGGCGAATAGTAAAATTGCTTCCTTTTTCAGCGGGTCAAAAATGCGTGCCAAAAGTTCCAAACTTGCAAGCCCCTGTTTATGTGCGAAGAGTTGATGACAAATTTTGAAACTTGCACAGATGATAGCTCCGACATTTGTCTATCTATCACTGTAACATGAGCTAGAATCAAGAGAAGGGGGCCCCTTCCGCGTCCAACCTGAGTTCATGGTGAGTGTTCCACTTTATTCGGCTTAAAAACGAATGTGTCAAAGATGATCAGCTTTCTGTGAGACTTCCAGAGTTGTCTGGAAAACTATTTGCTGAAATCTTTTACTTATTGTAACTAGGTGTCACATACTGCATTTTGTAGCCTTGAAAAGTGGCAAAAATTCTGGTCGTTGATCCTTGTGAACATGAATTGCCAAATACCCGTCGGAGTATAAGGTGAGCATGAAAGAGTCCCAGGGAGGTGAACTAGATGCAGACACTCAAAGTGGCTCCTATTCCACTTAGACTTAAATATAGAACATGTGTCTTGTAGCAGCTCGTATAAACGCTGTTACACAGCTGAAAACAAGTCTCCGAGTACCCCTCGAGATAGTCACCGTCACTTGGTTTCCAAGACGCTTTCTTATTATTCATGCTACTATGTCGTCAAACATGCTTTGATAGAGCTGAAATTAGTACCGCAATAGTTTCTCACGAGAGCTAACCAGTGTGTTACGTTTCAGAAAAATTGCCTGAAATCTCAAAGTTTTCTAAAAAGCGCGAAGTTTTTAGCTTTTTCTAAAGTTTCTAACATGATCTTCTGTTCAGTACTTACTTAGGTCAGTCCAAAAGCAGTTGCGGAGGTATGATAATCCTTCCAAGGAGGGTTCGATCATTTGTTTTTCTATACAGTCTGATAGAGAAAAGAAAGCTCTATTTTTCTATACTATTTGATCTTATTCAGACTAATCCTATGACAATAAAATTTCTATAAGACTTGTTTTGGTCGGACGTGTGCTGGTTGTACTATATCATATTCTGTGTTCCATACGTGTCATATTCTTGTCATTCTCTTTTTTTCTTTTTTTTTCGTCTTCCTCAGTCCCGAACTGTGCGTACATGCATGTGAAAAGACACGTGTTTTGTTTGTTTTGCATATAAACATAGTATATAATTGCGTTCTAAGGAGGATAAAGCAACACACTTCGATTAAATCACAGTAGTATTCACTCTTATGAATATGAATAAGGAAAACTTTCGTTTCTACATCAAAGTACGCACTGCACTTAATATTCCAGCAAGAATTATTTACGATGAATTATGTTCTGTTTTTGGCGATCAAGCTCCTGCACTTAGGACGGTGGAATGGTGGTCTAAATTATTTCGAGAAGGAAGAGAAGATGTTGAAGATGAAGAAAGACCTGGCAGACCTATAACCGAGACAACATCTGAAAATATCGAGCAAGTTCGTAGCCTTATCAATGATAATCCTCATATTACAATACAAGAAATGGAGGTTCAAACTGGTTTCAGCCATGGCACTATCCATCGAATAATATCCGATCATCTGAATTTGAAGAAACTCACTGCTCGTTACATACCTAAGCAGCTGACTGATTCACAAAAAGCTGAACGAGTTCGAATATGCAAAGAAAATTTAGAAAAATTCGAATCAGGTGCATGGAGATTATGTGATGTTATAACAGGTGATGAATCATGGTTTTATCATAAACACATTGGTCGAAAGTTGTCCAATTCTGCTTGGGTTTCAAGAAATGATCCGCCACCTACTGTAGTACGACAAAGTCCTTATGCCCCAAAAACCTTAATGATCATCTTTTTCAAATCAACTGGTCCTGTTTTTATTCATCATGTAGAACGGGAGCAGACTATCGACCATCGGTACTATATCGATAATTGTTTAGAACCTCTTATTGATAACATCAAAAGACAACGTCCTACTTGTGGTGTCCAGAGTATCAAACCTCATTACGATAATGGGCGACCACATGTTCATAAGGAAGTATCAAATTATCTTGAATCGGAAGGTATTACAATAATCAAACATCCACTTTATTCTCCAGATTTGGCACCGTGTGATTTTTGGCTATTCGATTTTATCAAACAAAATATACCCGATCAAAGTGATTCAGAATTGTTACATCAGGCTGTATCCGACTTCATGAACTCCTTAAGTAAAGAAGAATACAGAAAAACATTCGATAAATGGATTCAATGTATGCGCTTATGCGTGGATAATCGCGGCGATTACTTCGAACATTTGATGAAATAAGAGCTTGGTGAACTCTATATTTTTTCGTTCTGATGTCATTAGACATTGCATATCTTGATATGCATAAACAGCTCGGGACTGAGGACGACGAAAAAAAAAAGAAAAAAAGAGAATGGCAAGAATATTACGCGTATGGGACACAGAATATGATATAGTACAACCAGCACACGTCCGACCAAAACAAGTTTTATAGAAATTTTATTATCATAGGATTAGTCTGAATAAAATCAAATAGCATAGAAAAATAGAGCTTTCTTTTTTCTATCAGACTATATAGAAAAAAAATTATCGAACCTTCCTTTGAAGAATTATCATACCTCCGCAACTACTTTTGGACTGATCTAAGTAATTTGAACAGTGTTCGACTTGCAAATTTTGTGAGACGTTGTTTGAAAAAACAGAGTATCATCTTGCATGTTTTCCGCACAAATATAATGGAAGCTGGCTTTTTATTTCAGATTACCATTAGAAACGTCGCTGTTTCCATAGAAACGAATTATTATATGGCAGATGAAACCTATTTTTAGATCATTGTTTTACTATTTACATATTTCACTGATGACACAAACATTAATTTTGATTACAGATACAACTGAATAAGCTCTTTGTTCTTCATCTGATTGACATCGCGCGATGAAACAAAAGTAGTAATATCCATTTCAAAATAGAAGAGCAGTGGGTATTTTTCGAATAACTTTTGATGGGTACATGATAGAGAGCTACGGTTTTCACCGTTGGAAAGAGGGTGTTTAGACACATCGAACTGTATATTATGGATATTTTTTGCAACGTTTCTTGACGGTTTTCTCTCTAGATCTCTAAAAACCGTGTCACTGCGATTACTTAAAAGAGTTTTGTCTTCCCTTCAANTCGATAATTTTTTTTTCTATACAGTCTGATAGAGAAAAGAAAGCTCTATTTTTCTATGCTATTTGATCTTATTCAGACTAATCCTATGATAATAAAATTTCTATAAGACTTGTTTTGGTCGAACGTGTGCTGGTTGTACTATATCATATTCTGTGTTCCATACGCGTAATATTCTTGCCATTCTCTTTTTTTTTTCGTCTTCGTCAGTCCCGAACTGTACGTACATGCATGTGAAAAGACACGTGTTTTGTTTGTTTTGCATATAAACATAGTATATAATTGTGTTCTAAGGAGGATAAAGCAACACACTTCGATTAAATCACAGTAGCATTCACTCTTATAAATATGAATAAGGAAAACTTTCGTTTCTACATCAAAGTACGCACTGCACTTAATATTCCAGCAAGAATTATTTACGATGAATTATGTTCTGTTTTTGACGATCAAGCTCCTGCACTTAGGACGGTGGAATGGTGGTCTAAATTATTTCGAGAAGGAAGAGAAGATGTTGAAGATGAAGAAAGACCTCGCAGACCTATAACCGAGACAACATCTGAAAATATCGAGCAAGTTCGTAGCCTTATCAATGATAATTCTCATATTACAATACAAGAAATGGAGGTTCAAACTGGTCTCAGCCATGGCACTATCCACTGAATAATATCCTATCATCTGAATTTGAAGAAACTCACTGCTCGTTACATACCTAAGCAGTTGACTGATTCACAAAAGGCTGAACGAGTTCGAATATGCAAAGAAAATTTAGAAAAATTCAAATCAGGTGCATGGAGATTATGTAATGTTATAACAGGTGATGAATCATGGTTTTGCCATAAACACATTGGTCGAAAGTTGTCCAATTCTGCTTGGATTTCAAGAAATGATCCTCCACCTACACTAGTACGACAAAGTCCTTATGCTCCAAAAACCTTAACGAGCATCTTTTTCAAATCAACTGGTCCTGTTTTTATTCATCATGTAGAACGGGGGCAGACTATCGACCATCGCGGTACTATATCGATAATTGTTTAGAACCTCTTATTGATAACATCAAAAGACAACGTCCTACTTGTGGTGTCCAGGGTATCAAACTTCATTACGATAATGGGCGACCACATGTTCATAAGGAAGTATCAAATTATCTTGAATCGAAAGGTATTACAATAATCAAACATCCACCTTATTCTCCAGATTTGGCACCGTGTGATTTTTGGCTATTCGATTTTATCAAACAAAATATACCCGATCAAAGTGATTCAGAATCGTTACATCAGGCTGTATCCGACTTCATGAACTCCTTAAGTAAAGAAGAATACAGAAAAACATTCGATAAATGGATTCAACGTATGCGCTTATGCGTGGATAATCGCGGCGATTACTTCGAACATTTGANCACTGCACTTAATATTCCAGCAAGGATTATTTACGATGAATTATGTTCTGTTTTTGGCGATCAAGCTCCTGCACTTAGGACGATGGAATGGTGGTCTAAATTATTTCGAGAAGGAAGATAAGATGTTGAAGATGAAGAAAGACCTGGCAGACCTATAACCGAGACAACATCTGAAAATATCGAGCAAGTTCGTAGCCTTATCAATGATAATCCTCATATTAAAATACAAGAAATGGAGGTTCAAACTGGTCTCAGCCATGGCACTATCCATCGAATAATATTCGATCATCTGAATTTGAAGAAACTCACTGCTCGTTACATACCTAAGCAGCTGACTGATTCACAAAAGGCTGAACGAGTTCGAATATGCAAAGAAAATTTAGAAAAATTCGAATCAAGTGCATGGAGATTATGTGATGTTATAACAGGTGATGAATCATGGTTTTGCCATAAGCACATTGGTCGAAAGTTGCCCAATTCTGCTTGGGCTTCAAGAAATGATCCTCCACCTACAGTAGTACGACAAAGTCCTTATGCCCCAAAAACCTTAATGAGCATCTTTTTTAAATCAACTGGTCCTGTTTTTATTCATCATGTAGAACGGGGGCAGACTATCGACCATCGGTACTACATCGATAATTGTTTAGAACCTCTTATTGATAACATCAAAAGACAACGTCCTACTTGTGGTGTCCAGGGTATCAAACTTCATTACGATAATGAGCGACCACATGTTCATAAGGAAGCATCAAATTATCTTGAATCGGAAGGTATTACAATAATCAAACATCCACCTTATTCTCCAGATTTGGCACCGTGTGATTTTTGGCTGTTCGATTTTATCAAACAAAATATGCCCGATCAAAGTGATTCAGAATCGTTACATCAGGCTGTATCCGACTTCATGAACTCCTTAAATAAAGAAGAATACAGAAAAACATTCGATAAATGGATTCAACGTATGCGCTTATGCGTGGATAATCGGCGCGATTACTTCGAACATTTGATGAAATAAGAGCTTGGTGAACTCTGTATTTTTTCGTTCTGATGTCATTAGACATTGCATATCTTGATATGTATAAACAGCTCGGGACTGAGGAAGACGAAAAAAAAAGAAAAAAAGAGAATGGCAAGAATATTACGCGTATGGAACACAGAATATGATATAGTACAACAAGCACACGTCCGACCAAAACAAGTCTTATAGAAATTTTATTATCATAGGATTAGTCTGAATAAGATCAAATAGCATAGAAAAATAGAGCTTTCTTTTCTCTATCAGACTGTATAGAAAAAAAATGATCGAACCCTTCTTTGAAGGATTATCATACCTCCGCAACTACTTTTGGACTGACCTAAGTATTTGTGAAACATGGACCTTGACTAGTAATTGCTGTAAAACCAAGTTGAGATCCACGACGTGGTCGAAATAGCGAATTTGAATCATTATCACAGCCACCGACAGCATTGTATCGGAATCAATTCGAAAAACAAAGAGACTAGGAACATTGACATTACTTGTATTTACTAATCGACGAACATAACTGGTTCGGGAATAGGGTAACATTTCATAAATAATACTATCACCTGCATTAAAGCCAGCTTGACCACCGATTTCAGATGATGAATTGACCTCTATTAAAGAACTAGTTGAAGGACTAGCCCATTGTAAATCATTATAAAAAAGAAAAGCAAAACTACGTATTTCATCTGTTGCCAGGATAATTTGAAATGTATTCACTAGATTTGTTTGATAAGAATAAGCACCAACTCGATACCATGTACCAGTAATAATCATCGATGGATTAAATGATCGTTCACCAGGAAAATATTGTTGAACATAAGCTACTGCTTTTTCAAATACAATAGTATTGCTTTGATTGACATGAATCTGATAATAAACTTTATTACCCGATGGAATAGAGCTTCGCGTATCTATATCAGACCAGAATCCGGCAATCACGCGACGACCATCGTTAAGTGGAAAAGGTGTAGGTACAAATTGATATATTGGCCCCAGAAAAGAAAAAAGACCATTGTTCGCTAAATAAATCTAACGATGGTTGTCATTAAAATAAGGAAATATTCGAGGTAATGGTAAAGCGTTTGTACTCTCATCATCGTTCGGTGAAAACAATTGCTCGCTAGCTGTTGATCCATATGGAAAAAATTCATTCAGAGGAACACTATAAGTTATACTAAA